GGGGGGTGGGGTGGAAGTTGCAACATTTAGCTTAACTATTTGTATTTGTATGTCTTTTATGAAATACAGGATGGGTATAGGCGCCGCACTCCCGGAGGTGTCTACATCCAGTTGCTGAAAACAGATGCCTCGGTATCCAAAGAACAGCTGTCACACATCTTTGAAGCTGATGAACAGCGATGGAAAGAGAAATTAAAACGAGAAAGGAAACTGTAAGGCTTTACTTTTTTCAAATTATTGAGCTAATTTTGTGGTTAAATAGGGTGTGTACTTCCCTGCAATTTACAGGGACTGGGGTTTGATTCTGAAATTTGCAAGCCTGTTGGTCCCAGCAGGCCAAGGAATATAAATTGTCTGCTGTTGCACCAGTGAAGGTTGCAACTTCTCTTCTTTGATGAAGGGGGGTTGCAGGAGTCATACATCAAAACCTCTCAACCTCTCTGACACATTGATTTGATACATATATAGACAGGCTTTTCTGCTCAAAGATGCCAATGTAAAATCTGTCACAGTTTTTGTCATCATTAAGAAACATGAAAGATTTTATTATACCTTCAATATAAGATGCAAGAGTTGTGGTTATGTTGTTGTTATCGATCCAGGAGTTGCAAGAGACAACTGCTTTTGTTTATCAAAGCTACACCAGCATGAAAAAAAAGATGAAGAGTATTAGATGTTAAGGTGGTCTAGTATTTTCCTTACATTAAATTACAATCTCTTCCTACTGATGTCTTTATTGTTATCTTTTTTTTATATCTTTGCTTATCCCGATTTTTTGTCCCAGTCTGCTTTTGTGCAGGATTTTTCTAAAAATTTACTCTGCCTTCTCCGTTATCGCGGGAAGCACCTGTTGAACTTTTTGTCAGTAGGAACTCAGAGCACTATTTCCCGAAATATCGATTCCGCATTTAGTAGTTGACTCGCCTCAAGTTGTGTGTGATCTTTGACCGCACTCAGAATTCTCCGATGATAGCGTGGTAACTTACAATTTGGGACATACAAACAATCGATAATATTCATAGTTCCGCTGTTACTTTCAAAACAAGCCTTGTCTGAGGTCTGGTAACTGCGCGCTCACATCAAACACTCGGACAAGGGACAGTCTTTCTAACCCTTACCCAACTACATGTAACTGCGCTGACAAGACTAACATACAGCCGTTGTCGTTGCTTTAGTCTGAACACATTATGAGAGATAAGAGATTTGTTTGTACATTTGGTCGGTCGGCCGCCGTCGTTATCCTAGAAGTAGAACCACTGTCGCTCATCCGAGTGTTTTGGGTGAACGCGGAGTTAGTCGGACCCGTTAGTAAAATTGTTTTCGTCTCGCATTCGCATAATGTGACATGACATCGCCGTGTGAGTTCTGCGTGTCGGGGACCATCCGTTGACGGGGTCAACTTATGTTCATGTACATCTATTTCGGGACTTCTTGGATGGGGGGGGGGGGGGGTGTATAGACACTTGGACTAGGAGTGCTTAACGTGATGCCTCAGGATTTACAAATAATAATGATAACTCGCACGCACGCACACAATCTCACGCACACAATCTCACACACACACACACACACAGACACACACACACACTCACTCACTCACTCACTCACGTACATGCACACAAACAAACAAAGACACACAGAAGGCATATAGGCCAAGTAATTTATGGACACCCATGGAAAAATTTTAAGTCAGCTTTGGCAGTCACCTTGGTGATTTGCTGTTGATCCCGATTTTTTTCACCAAATCCCGATTTTTCTCCCTGGGATCCTGATTTTGAGGTTTCATAGAGTGGCAGGTCTGTCTTTGTCATGGTATACATGGGTGTCTGCTTAAGCCAACAATGCCGTTAAACCTGAAGAAAATAGAATCTGTGATTTTTTTTTTTCCCCTGCCTTTGTAAGAAAAGAATCAGAATTTCAAGCGTTGTGTCATCTCAATTTTCACTAGCAGCCCTCAAGTGACACAAATCATCAAGTCTTACACACTTCAAGATAACAAAACAGAAGAAAGACCTGTGAGAACGTACATGTCTTGTTTACGGGCCTGAGAAAGGCATCAGCACTCTACATTTGTCACACATCAATAGGCCTACACACTCTGTGAAGCTAGTTCACCTGCACATGAGCTCGTGATATTTTTTATTATGTCACTGGCATTGGCCTTCTCACTTTTCAAGGCCTAGCCTTGCACAGAGCACAGAAGAGTCACAGACACTAGATTATAGTAAAATGTGTATGGTGCAGTGCAGAATAGTGTGCTTATCTACTCTTTCGTCTGTTCTATGTATTGTTTTGCAGATAAAGCAAGCTGACAATGTCGAAGAAAAAGCACCCTGCAGCTCAAATTGCAGTTGCTGAAACAGTAGATTCTGCAAAAAACTTTCAATACGTGGAATTTGCCACAAGCAAGGCATTCCCAACTCTTCACTTTCGACAATTATCTGTAAGATAGAAAAAATAAAAATGGTAAAGATTTGGTTGGAAAAGGATCCCCCCCCCCCCCCCCTCCCCCGAAAAAAACTAAATGTATAAAAGAAAAATGAAAGTAATGCCTATGGGAATAGCCATGTCTCGCCTCTTGAACAAGGGAACATAACTCTGTAGGTTAGGTCTGATTTGGGTGGTGAACTGCTTCCCTTTGGTGTGCACATTAAGAATCTAAAAATTTACAGTGTGTTTATCCTATTATCTTTTCCAGTATAAAAGCTGCACGCAAGCAAAGGCGCAAACAGAGAAAGCAAGCTACCATGGACCTAGACCGGCCTGAAACACCCACGCCCACAGAGGATCTGGAGGTTCTGAGTGCCTTGGATGGAAACAACGATTTTGACACTGGAGACTTCCCTGAGCGGCCTGCCACCCCAGAGCCTAAAGACGACTCCTCAGATGGAGAGAATGGCAATGAGGACGAGGATGATGAAGAAGACGATGAAAAAGAAGAGGATATTTCTTTGGTCATAGCTAGGGCGAAAGCAGCGATTCTCAAGAGGCAGAGGGAGTTGGCCAATGCTCCACCTCAGGACACGAGCAGTGAGATGGGTGAGGAGAGCGTGTCGTCTCCATCTTGTCGTAGTGTGGCCAGCATGAAGGATGTGGAGGCCAAAGACTCTGGTATGATGGGAACTCCCTTGACAGCTGATGATGGAGATAGTAGGGATATGGACGATGCTTAATTCTTTGAACCCGAAATCCTGCTGTGATGGGGACAGCTCTAGCTTCCCTTTGCTCCGAGGGGTCCCTCTTTAGAGTTTTAGGCAACACCCCTTCCTGTTTGTGCAAGTCTATTTCTATTCAATGAGAATATAAAGAGGTATTCAGTGTGGGATTGAAGCAGGAAGTAATCAAGAGTCTTTGTTGTGAAATTTGATGGAAAGAAGTTTGTTTGAAACTGTTTATGAAATGTTTGATCTAATGATCAGTCCTAGCCATCAACATCAGGGATAGGTGCTCAGGTGTGAGGTCACTGTCAGTTCAGGGATTCTGGGTTCAAAGGGTTAAATATCTTTCCTATGGAAAGAGATCTGACGTGGCAGTGGAACATTGTGATGCTTTTTTGCGCCATGGTACAACTGAATGTAGTTATCATGAGTCTGTGTTCAAAATATTACTGCATTATTTGTACAATGAGTATAATAATGTAAATTTTCTTCCTCTCTGTTTTATGTTGTCAGTATTTTTTCTTCACTTGTTCTTTTTTTTTTGGTATGTTTGTGAAGGATGAATGATTTTATATCTAGGGCATTCCTGAAAACATTTTTTACATACATTTTTGGGGTAAGTGTAAACTTCCTTTCAAAACAAAATGTGTACTCATGCTTCATTTACATCTTCTTTCAATGGATGAGTTCAAGCAGAAGATAGTACCATACACAATGTGTACCTCTCCATGCTTGTATGTGCTTCTTGTTTCCCTAATAGCGTGCTGCCTTAGTGAAAGTGCAGGAGTGGTGTCTATGGTGTAGCGGTCAGACGTTTCATTTCCATTTTCAGTGCCTGTTATTCTTTGTAACTATTTTTCTTGTTGGCAGTAAAGTAATTGGGCATTACTTCCCTTATTCTGCTGCTGTACGCTTGTTGAAACTGGATTGTTTTTGCTTTCCTTACACTGCAAGTATTTGTAATTGTTTCTGGTAAGCTTACTTTTCAATTTCATGCTTTTTAAAGTTAATAATAGTCAGAGAATATAGAGAGCTCTAGAACTAGTTTTGATTTTTTTTAAAAACAAACTAGGCTCCGAGCACCTTACAAATACGGGTAGCTGCACAAAGACAATATGTCGTGTTCTGACGAAAATCTTCGTAAATCCCTTTCATCTAAGATAAGAACTGACTTTTGCTGACTTTTAAATGTATACATCAATTTGACATCTCTTAAAATTTGATAAATTTCCAGGCGGTGAGTTCCAGATGTTGGGCCCATGAAATACAAATGCCCTTTCACCTTTTGTATGTTTAAATGCTTTTAATAATTTAAAATGTGCATGCACAGTGTGAATTTGGTTCTCACTTGTGATGATGTTTTATTGATCATGTCTGTCCATTTGTTGAAGCTGGAATTGGCCTTGACAGGTAGGGTAGAAGCTGCCTGATTGATTTTATATTGTGTCACTGGTGGCGTAAAATGTTTACAGCAACACAAAAAGGACAGAGATACCACCTCTCTTTACTCATTCCTGTGAAACACATTGTAAACACACACACACACATCCGAGGGTGTACGTGAATTCGCATGCCGCAGGCTTACACACTCATGATGAAGGCAATGAATTTCTCTGTCAAGCTGTGTAGATCGATGTTACTATCTTTTCATTTGTGCCCCCTCTCTCTCTCCCTCTCTCTCTCTC